ATTGACATGAGCTCTGTGAAAGCAGATAAGCATAATTGGGTAAACAAACATGATATTTCAACATACGAAAACTCCTTTCAAATCTGAATTTAGTTTTAAAAACACAATTACTTAAATTAAGTAATTTCAATATATAGCTAAACATGTACGAAGATACCAAAAACATAGAAAAAACTGTCATATAATTGATTGACTGATAAAAAGTACAAAGGGATTGCTGAAAACAAGCTATTGTGATTTTTGTTACGAATTTTCTATGTCCAATGACCTTAAATACATTGAACGTTTTATTTATGATGATTTTGTTGAGTCTGTAATCTGAAGGTTTTATGGTAAGTATCAAATAAACTTATTTATAACATTAGCAATAAGCCATGTAAATGAGGTCATGGTCAGACGAACCATTCCAGAAAACATGCATACCATGGAATCATTCCATACACCAAATATAGTTGACCTTTTGCTCATGGTATCTGAAAAACAGACATAACCATGAAAACTTCAAATTCACCAATGAAAATGAAAATTCACATTGGACACTGCAAATGAGGCCAAGGTCAAATGAACTACGCCAGACAGACATGTACACACAACAATTATATCATACACCCACAACAGCTGAGCTGTTGCTTATAGTATCTGAGAAACAAACCCAACTACAAAAACTTATAATTGACCAATGAACCATGAAAATGAGGTTAAGGTCATATGAAACCTGCCAGTCAGACATGTACACCTTACAATCATTTCATACACCAAAAATAGTTGACCTATTGCTTAATAGTATCTGAGATATGGAATTGATCACTGATCTATGAAATGAGGTCGAGGTCAGTTGAACCATGTCTGACTGACATGAAGAACTTGTAAGGAACCCATATACCAAATATTGTTATCATTTTACTTGTGATAAGTATTTCACATGACAAAAACAATACTTTTTTTCAATTTGTTGCTACACCTTTAAAATGAGGTCAAGGACCATGGACATATGAAAGACTGAAACTTCATAGCATAAGCTAAGGTATCTATCTGCATATAAGGCATGAAGCATCAAGGTATTCTACCACAAAGCTTTATACAAATAGTTCACGCTGCCCCTGTCCCTGCCAGATAGTAATCCCTTTGTCTTGTATTCCTCAACTTTTGTTGAGACAAAACCTTTCTTTTCCTGAAATTTTCAAAATTCAAAGAATGTATTGAAGTCCAAAGAAAAACCAGAACATCTATGGACACCATGCCTCGCCGGCACTATCACGTTTCATATTTAGTGAACCATGAAATCTCAGACCAAATCCTAATTTGAAACTTTCACCAGGTTCAACCCACCATTTTTCTTAAAATGTCCTGTACCAAGTCAGGAATATGGCAGTTGTTATCAAATAGTTCTTTTCTATGTATGTTGGCGTTTGTTTTTGTTGCACTTCGGTATTCCTGTTGTTCCTTTGTTTTCCTCTTATAGTTGATGTGTTTCCCTCGGTTTTGGTTTGTAACCCGGATTTGTTTTCTCTCAATCGATTTATGACTTTTGAACACCGGTATACTAGTACTGTTGCCTTTATTTGACATAAGTTTGAAAAAATTCCACATCATAATGAATGAACCTTTTCAGAGGTTACTATGGGATATGGGTTTTGCTCGTTGTTAAAGGCCTTGGGTTGACCTATAGTTGCTTTCATCCATGTCCTTTATTTTCTGGTGTGTAGCTGTCTCAATGGCAATCATACCACATCTCATTATTTCAATATGTGTTTAAGTTTCAAGTTGATATGACCACAACTTCTAGGTGAACTACCTTAAACATTAAAACCTGAATCTACCTTCAGCCAGAACTATAATCTGATCAGTGAATTTCAAAATTTGAGCCAAAATCCAAATGTGACAAAATTTCAAAAGTTCACTTTAAAATGAACATGTGTACTAAGTTTCAATTTGATGATTCCACAATTTCATGGTAAACCAACTCAAACCAAAACTTTACCCTGATCAGTGAACAGTTAAACCCTAATTTGGTGTATATTTCAAAATGTGTATTGAGTTTCAAGTTGATGTGACGACAATTTCATGGTAAAGAAGTTTAAACCAAAACTTTAATCTGATATAGAAAGAAACACACAGATGGAAAAACACAATGTCTATTTCTATCTTAGGTTGGCCATACAAAACTGAAATGTTTTCAATACTCATCTGTAACTAACTATATGTATAGTGGATTCCTCTGAACTGCATACTCAAAATTTCATAGAAACTTTTACAATTTACAGGAATTTGCATATAACAGAACAAGAGTGCGCACGCTGAAATGTCTCGCCTACTATACTGACCATTGATTTTATGTTGATAGTCCTACATATAAAGTTTTACTACAAGTATCACATTAACATTTATGATCCAAGAAAATGAGGTCAAGGTCAGATAAACCAAGGCGGAAATGCATGTACACCTTTAATACAATCATTCCATACACAGAATATAGATTACCTATTGCTTATAGTATAAAAGAAACAGACCAAACCATGGAAATTCTATATTGACCAATGAACCATGAAAATGAAGTCAAGGTCAGATGAACCCTGCAAGACAGACATGTACACCTTAAAATCATTTCATACATCAAATATAGTTGAACTATTGCTTATAGTATCGAAGAAATAAAGTTAACCAGGAAAACTGAACATAAGCAATGAACCATGAAAACGAAGTCAAGGTCAAATAAAACCTGCCAGACTGACATGTACATCGTAAAATATTTTCATACACCAAATAAAGTTGACCTACTGCATACAGTATTAGAAAAACAGACCAAAACACAAAAACTTAACATTGAGCAATGAACCGTGAAAATGAGGTCAAGGTCAAATAAAACCTGCCAGACTGACATGTACATCCTAAAATATTTACATACACCAAATATAGTAGACCTATTGCTTATAGTATCTGAGATATGGACTTGACCACGAAAACTTAACCTTGTTCACTGATCCATGAAATGAGGTCGAGGTCAAGTGAAAACTGTCTGACAGACACGAGGACCTTGCAAGCTACGCACATACCAAATATAGTTATCCTATTACTCATTATAAGAGAGAAATTAACATTACAAAAAATCTTAACTTTTTTTTTCAAGTAGTCACTGAACAAAGAAAATGAGGTCAAGGACAATGGACACATGACAGACGGAAACTTCATATCATTAGGCATCTATATACAAAGTATGAAGCATCCAGGTCTTCTACCTTCTGAAATATCAAGCTCTTAAGAAGTTAATTAACGACGCTGCCGGGTCACTATCCCTATGTCAGGCTTTCTGCGACAAAAGTCGCAGGCTCGACAAAAATGAAATAATGAAAACAAAGATATTCTTCACTTTTTTCATCAGTAATTGTATGAAAATTGTTAAATAAGCAGTTAGAACACTTGACACACTTGTCAAGGACCCTGAATGTCAATACAAACAAACTGCATACCTGACACCATCGTCTTAAAATCTCCATGGTACATGTTTTACTATCAAAGGGGTTAAAGGTCAAAGTCAAGGTCACAGTGACCCGACTTCAGTATGCCACACACAGACTTTCCATGATGCATCCGCATACCAAGTCTGGTCAACCTTCGTTCTACAGTATCACAGTTGTGCACTGGACATTATTCAGACAAGGTTTTACTATCATAGGGGTCAAATGTCAAAGTCAAGTTCACAGCAACTAAATTTGGTATATGAAACAAAGCCTTCCCATGATGCATCCACATTCCAAATTTTGTCAACCTAAGTTCTACAGTACAACAGTTATGCCCCAGACATGAATCAGGTAATGTTTTATTATCATAAGTCAAAGGTCAAAGTCAAGGCCACAGTGACTTGATTTTGGCATGTGACACCCCCTTCTCATGATGCATCTGCATATCAAGTTTGGTCAACTTAAGTTCTACGGTACAACAGTTATCCCCCAGAAACATAGTTTAACTTTTAGCAGTGTACTTCTTTGCAGTGAATTGCTGTTTTGACCTGTGTTTTTTACATACAAGTGATAGAAACAAATTATCAAAGGTACCAATGAGAAATATATATTTAAATATGAAATATTTTGTTTTACCTTTAATAGACCAATATCAAACAGAAATATCTCAAAAAATTTACTTTTGAATTAACAAAAACTGCATGGCCGTACAGTGGCCTATAATTGCTTACATCCACTTCTTTTGAACTCTGGTGGATATTTGTCTCACAACATCTCCTTATTCTTGTATGGTATTTCCTCAACAGGTATGCAATCAATTGGATTCCTTATTATCAAAATGAAATTCCCTGTTTGTGGATAGGGACAGCTATAAAGATTACAATTTTTCCAGATGAGCAGGAAAATCAAACACACAACGCTATAGAAATGTTTTTCATATTAGTTTAAATTGGCCTTGTTCTTTTAGAATATTTTTATAGAAAAAGTTAATGGACAACAGAAGACAGACTGATGTATAAAAAAAGAACATATACTGTAGATTCAGTATTATTTGTGGGGTGCCAGTTTTTATGGGTAAAGGGGAACCACAAATTTTAATGTTCAACAATGTACTAATTTTTTATAGGCTTATATCTGATGTTCAGTAGTTGTCGTTTGTTGATGTGGTTCATAAGTGTTTCTAGTTTCTCGTTTTTTATATAGATTAGACTGTTGGTTTTCCTGTTTGAATGGTTTTACACTTGTCATTTTTGGGGCCCTTTATAGCTTGCTGTTCGGTGTGAGCCAAGGCTCCGTGTTGAAGACCGTACTTTGACCTATAATGGTTTACTTTTACAAATTGTGACTTGGATAGAGAGTTGTCTCATTGGCACTCATACCACATCTTCTTATATCTATTATATGCAAACTTTGGAAAACCCTGAAATCAAATATCCACCAAAATAAAATGTTTCTTCAGTCCATGAAAATAAATGAATTCACAGTATCTATGTAACTTGAATGCAATAACTTATACTGGCCATAATCAATAAACAATGAAAATATTTTTTAATATTTAATTTTGTGAAATTTCTTTTTTATGTAAATCATAATCACAATAAAACAATTCAATTCAATTTATTGAAGTGAAACTTCAATAGCATCTACAGCTTGTAACCTTTGAACTGTATTAAGCAATGGTTTGGTTACTACAGAAAAGCATCATTTCAAAGTCCAAATTTCTTAAATATGTTATTTGTTTGCCAAGACTTCTATAGAACTCTAAAAAAAATTAATATGAATGGTTAACACAACAAATAGCTAACTAGGTCAATACTTCAAACTCGGAACAGTTAATTTGTTATTGTTTGTGTATCATTCAATGTGTATGGATCCAATGCCTCAATGAAACTTGGTATGTATTTAAAGTAATGGCCAACCATGGAAAGAAATTTAAATGTCATAACATGAGTAAACAGTATCTAAAAAAAATGCCTCAGACATTAGGGTTGATACAGCATATCATAACATCATAACTAATTATAATATTAGATATGGGTGTTACTAAAAAGTCAATCACAATGGAAGGCTTAGCACATGAAATGCCTCCAACTGCAAAGCACACCTTTTAGACCTCAATGGAGGACTTTGCACTGGAAATGCCTACAACTCCAAAGCACACCTTTTAGACCTCAATGGAGGACTTTGTACTGGAAATGCCTCCCACTGCAAAGCACACCTTTTGGACCTCAATGGAGGACTTTGCACTGGAAATGCCTACAACTCCAAAGCACATCTTTTAGACCTCAATGGAGGTCTTTGTACTGGAAATGCCTACAACTCAAAGCACACTTTTTAGACCTCAATGGAGGACTTTGCACTGGAAATGCTTCCCACTCCAAAGCACATCTTTTAGACCTCAATGGAGGACTTTGTACTGGAAATGCCTACACATGTGTAGAGGTAAATAACAAAAACATATGTAAAAACACACATCATGTAACTACAATCTCAAAAACTGTCTTCACGAATATTTTAATTACAATTACATTTAAACAGTCATTATATATTTAAACAGTCATTATAAAACTATACCAATAAATTAAAGGAGTTCCTTATCCTAGTGACATTAGAAAAGAATGTTATATTCTGTTGCATGGAGTGCCATGATAGGTTTCCTTCAGTCATTTCACATGGGCAAAAATAGGTAGATCAGTGTTCAGGACTGTTGCATAAATACACACATGTCATGGGACCCTGGGGAGGCACTTTGAAATATCAACTATGGGTTGTGTCAAATACTTTTTTGTACAGTGGGGGATACCAATTTTCGTAGATTTCCTGGGAAAAAATGGACCAAATTTAAATGTACAAAGAAGTACAAATTTTCGAAGGGCTTGAATGCAGACTTTGGAAAAACCACGAAATCAAATATACACACAAAAACAATTTTTCCTCAATCCAAGAAAATTGGTACACATGAAAATAAATGAATCCACAGTTTCCCATTTTAAAGTGCCTCCCTGAGCTCCATGCATATTTTAATGTATAACCCCCAACTTTTTTTGAATTACTGCAATAAAATAGAACCCCTAATGTGAACAGAGGTACTGACATAACAAACAAAAGCACTTTTCAAAACCAACCAATATATAAAACAAACAAATATTGCTTCCATTGGCTTCCTACATGGTTTCTTAAATACAAGTATAAAGTTAAAAGCCTCTGCTAATACTATGTCTAGTATATGTACCGGTATGTGTAAAGTCGAACGTAAATACCTGAAATCGTTGACCATTTGGAGTAAAATTCAATATTTTTTAACACAGAAATAATCTTGTTCAATGTTTTTAATGTTTTGTAACTATAATTCAGGTTTACTTCCAATCAGATTTTGTTTTTACAACACTAACTATGACAACAACTAAATTATACTTTGGATTTTCGTAAGACAAATATAAGAACAAAATTGTAAGTTGATTTTCCCCCTGATCGGTTGAGGTAGTGGTGTCTGATTAATTTAATTAGAAAATTTCAGCTCATAAATATTAAGGGGGTACAGAACATATAAGGGAGTTAACTCTTTAAAAATCAGCTGAGCGTTTAAATCCCATACTATTTGTAAAGAGAAATCAAGCTTCTCAATGATCAAAATTAGTGTTTGTCAAACTGCTATATATCCAATGAAATTATTCCTGTAAATTGTGTGGTTCAAATTTCTTGATTTTTTTTATATTTTTGTCAACAGGTCAAGGTAAATATTTTATCAAGATTTTATGAAAATTAAACGAACCAAATTTATTTTAGTAAAAGTGTTGTGTACCCCCTTAATTTCTAGTTGATAATAGCAGTAAGTAATTTTTTGTTTAAGTCTAAAATCTCAGTAGTAGGAAAGATCGAGTGAGCTGTAAAAAATAGTTTTTTGGTGCTTTAAAATTATTTTTTCTATCAAAACTTTAACAAAATCATGATGATTAAAGCAAAAACAGGACACAAGAATCTGGTTTAATGTATCCAAATTTACAAAATTCAGAAGTATGGCATGTTTGAATGTAATATTAGAGAATAAGAGCTCCTATAAAAATTCAAACTGATAACGCAAAAAAAAATCATTTCAATTTACTGATTAAAAACAGAAAAACTATATACATTTGTTTGTGAACATCAACAACAAAAAACAGAATGAAACATACACATTTTTAAAACATATATCAACCAGTCTGATAGATCAATCAAAATTTTTCTAAATCACAGATTAGAAAAATTGAAAAATGATTTTGTAGTGAAATTGGTTATAATTTCTTCTCTTCTTTTTAATATATTTTAAGCAATAAAGACAGACACATTCAACTACACAAATTCTCTAAATGACAGAAATACATTAAAATAAAAAAAAAAGAACACCACTGACGGACTTTGGACAGGCACATGAGCCATGTAAACAGAATCTTGAATATCACAAGAATTTGACAAATTGGATGTTTATTTACAAACAATTTGACAAAATATTGTTTTTATTAAGCTTTACCAAACATTAGCTGTTGAATTTGAAGTTGACTAAATATGTGTAATAAATTTTGTTCTTGCATCCATTCCTGGTTTTTCAAGCAATCAAGTGGTCAATTGCAGTCTGAAATTTCCATTTCAGAATCTAAAGGAAAAAGGGTTCAGTATACGTACCCAAAAATGAAAATATCATCAAGTCATTGGTTGAATTTCCATTGTGTAGGACTTTTTTAAACCAATCACAACAGTGTACACTTTTGAAAATATTATAGAGAACACATCAGATTCTGGAAACAGCAAATTTATCAATTGAAAAAAGAATTTATATTTAATAGTTAAACTTACATTCTAAGAAATACAAATCTTTATCACTAAGGGTGGAACAAGTAAATATTCATCCCAATGTTCACAGACACAATACATAGACAAACTCCACACTTAACATTATACAGTATGAAAATATTTTATGAAAAATCAATATCAAACTTAACAAAAGAGGCTTACAACATTATCTGTTAGTGATAGCTTGTATAAGTTTAAAACTAAATATAAATTTGGCATCAAACAAACAAAATGTACACAAAAATATAATTCACAAATGGTCTAGACACTACATAATAGTTCAGTCAAAATACAAAAAAATACAATAATTCAAAATAAATATTATCCACATAGTTGACCTAGAATTACTAAAATTGAATTGAAATTACTGACAGAAATAATAAAAAAATCAAATAATGATGTTTTTAAATAATATTCAGATATAGAAAAGACATAGATGCTTAAATAAAAAATAAAGAAAGAAGAAATATATTCCATTTGTTTTAGCATTATTTGTAAAGAAAAGTTAACTTAATGTTTTAAGACTACAGTCTTCCAACGGTTTCATCTTTTTGCATACATCACATATAGATAATATCTATAGTCTTTTCACTGTTTTTTTTTAAATATGAAAAAAAATGTATGCATTTGATTTCATATGTGTAAAAATATTTATATATATTTTAGTAGTGCTTCTACAGTAAGAGTGCTTATAATTTTTACTCATTTCATGAATTTTCACTTTTGAAAAATCCTTGTCGCATAATATATTACAAATATACATGTATAATACTGTTTATAAAAGTGTTACCTGCACAACCATTCTAAAAACAGCAATAACTGACAATAATCCCAATTTTGGAAAAAAAAAAAAAATGATACAATTGCCTGAATTTAGTTATTGAAGAATTAACCTTTACAAAAGTCAAACATTGTAATGAATAAAACAGCCAAGAACAATCTAAACAGGGCAATTATTGAGTGGAAATGATGCAAGATAAATTAACAATTTGCAACAAGGCCTTTCATTAAGGGCCGGTTTCTATATTTTATCCTTCTACACTGCTAAATAGTACTGCCTGAATTGAGGAATTTTTATACAAGGTATGAAAAGGATATATAGAAAAGTACCCCCTACAAATAGGATAGTACCAAACCACATAATATATAATAAAACCCCTTATCCAAGTTAGTACTAATATTGAAAAGTTACAATAAAAATATATGTATATATACATGTAATAAGTGTACTCATTGCAAGAATCACTCACTCAATATAATTATAATTTTCACAGAAAAAAAGAATCATTGTCAAAAATGTTGCATTTATTTCTTTATATGACACAGCCTAAAACCATGTATCTTAAATCAACTAGCATAATAAGGTTGTGGCATGGAATAGCCAGAAGCTGGATACTGTCCTGCGCTAGAACTGTATGCAGGATAAGGTGCAAGTCCAGGAGATCGAATATCACTGTTATATGAAGAACTTATCTGTCCTCTATTCCTAGTCGGAGAATGCTCCCGCACAAGTTCGTTCATTTTTTGTGATTTTATTTGACGTAAATGTGACATAGTTCGAGATGAAATGTAGGTTTCTAAAAAATTGTCAAGTCCAACCTTCCCTTCACAAAAGTTATCAGCTAGTTTCTACAATTACAAAATATATGTAATAAAAAATATGTAAAACAAAAAAATGTTGCATATAAACATTCATTTATTCAGATTAAAATATTGCATTTTGCATGAAATCTATTTCTAAAAAATAGCTAGAACTACAAGCCAACAAAGCAAAAGCTACATTATTTAAGGAATAACAGTACTGTAGTTGAAAAGTTGCCACTGTCAATTGGTGATTTGACGGTCGCAAATGCAGTTTTACTGGCGACGCGTAGTAATGTGCATGCCAATCACAATCAGACCATTTCATATTTATTTCACACATATGACATGTACATGTATGACAGTGTCTATTTTTATCTAATTTCCTGATATATATGCTACTTCTGATCCATATATTTTCATAAACATATTTTTAACCTTTCAAAGCAATGAAAGTAAAAGACGGATTTCCTACTGCTTTAAATTGCAAAGTGAATGAATATCCTTGAACATAACCTAACATAATCAAATCAATTGAAAAATGCTAGATTGTTAAATAGCCCAAAACATGAAAATCAAGAAAATAAAACCTTGCAAACAGGTCTGGACTGTAATTGCTATTTTCATATTTCCTTGAAAATAAACCATTTTACAGTACATGTATCAGACAGCTTTTGATTGTCACCAACATGACCAATATGATATTTAAAGAAACAATGCATAAAAATACCTACTTCACTTTCTTCTTCCGATTTGGCAGCTTCTGTTTGTAACATGACACTCATTACATCTAAGGAAATCTCTCCTCTTTTAGCATCTGAAAAAGTAATGTTTTCATTGTTAAGGGTTTTCTAAAATATAAAACTGTCAATGTTTAAAATTGTTTATAGTACCCCTTTACTATTTTTTACTGCATGTCTAAGTAGAATAAATCAGTGTGGCTGGTGTTGAGGTAACAATTGTGAAACAGAATCATTACTCATAACTGGTAGTGATAGCACTTTGATTTATAAAAATGTCTGATGGTATCTGTTGAATGTATAGCCATACATCAAAATAATTCAGCCATAATCATGTTTCAAAATAAATACTAATATAAATAAGAAGATGCGGTATGAGTGCCAATGAGACAACTCTCCATCCAAGTCACAATGTGTAATCAAAGCGCGAAAGCGCTGTAAAGGCAGTTAATTACAGGTTGTGTGTATTTTTAGTCCAGTTATATCATTATCTTGCATAGTACAGTGTACTTATCAGAGGTGGCTTTCAGTATTTAAGATTTAGAGTTCTCTAATGATATTGAACAAGTTTTATGAATGTCATATTCTGAGCACTATATGAAGGCGTTTGTTCTCACTTGTTTATGAACTTGTGCATTATATCCAGTTTGTACCTTTTTTATCTATGTTTATAGTCAAATTAGTTATCAAAGGTACCAGGATTATAATTTAATACGCCAGACTCGCGTTTCGTCTACATAAGACTCATCAGTGACGCTCAGATCAAAATAGTTATAAAGCCAAACAAGTACAAAGTTGAAGAGCATTGAGGACCCAAAATTCCAAAAAATTGTGCCAAATACGGCTAAGGTAATCTATTCCTTGGATAAGAAAATCCTTAGTTTTTCGAAAAATTCAAAGTTTTGTAACAGGAAGTTTATAAAAATGACCATATAATTGATATTCAAATACTGTTTAAAATAGTTAGGCATTTTCTTTTTAGAAATAAGTAAATGTTATCAACTGTATTTTATTCAACTCTGCAAATGTGGTTTGTTACTGGTAAGTATGGATGATAGTTGTTTCATTGGCAATCATAACACATCTCCTTATTTATATAATGATCTATATTCAACGACCTCAGGTACAAAAAAAATGTATGTAACTAAACTGTGATGGGAAACCTTTGACTTCTTTCTTTTATATAAACTTTTGATTTGGTACCATAGAACTATGTAGAATAAATGTACATTGCAACATGTCAACTCTTTCAATGACAATACTTTTTTAGAAACTATAACTCCAAGCAAAATTATATTTCCAAGTTTAAAGTAATTTATGAATGAAAAAAGGAGTTCTTAATTAAGAAATAAACTAATTCGCTGAGCGCAGCTGGATACACCTCAGAGGTCCAACCCTGAACAGTTGGGGCAAAAATGGACACAATATTCAAGCTTGATACAGGTCTGTATTTGGATTGTAATTAAATATTTTACATATTATAGTTTCTGAATAAATGTAGTCAAAGAACTTGAAATCGGTTATATGAATTGAATTTATATTCAATTGAAGATTTCTTGCTGTTGTGCAATAAACTGTGCTGTTGCGCAATACTTAATAAATCTGTTGCCAGACTATAAAGAATAAAGTTCAAATTCTTCTCAATGTCATATTTGAAATTTATGAAAATCTATAGGGAGATTACATCAATAGCTATAAATAATTCACCCAAGTTTCATGCGAACTGCTTAAAGCATTTTTGAGTTGTTGTCCAACAACAGTGCACACGCTGAAATGTCTCGCCTTCTTTACTAATCACTGATATTATGTTGATAGTCCTTAATATAAAGCTTTATTACAACTGTCACATAAACTTAACATTAACCAAGAAAACTAAACATTGACCAATGAACCATGAAAATGAGGTCAAGGTCAGATGAACCATGCCAGGCAGGCATGTACAGCTAACAATTCTTCCATACAACAAATATAGTTGACCTATTGCTTATAGTTTAAGAAAAACAGACCAAAACACAACTAGATACAAAAATGGACACAATATTCAAGCTTGATTCAGGTCTGAATTTGGATTGTAATTAAATATTTGACATATTATAGGTTTCTGAATAAATGTAGTCAAAGATCTTGAAATTGGTTATATGAATTGAATATGCAATTAAAGATTTCTTGCTGTTGTGCAATACTTAGTAAACCTGTTGTCAGACTATAAACAAATAAAGTTCAATTAATTCACAATGTCATATTAGAAATTTATGAAAATAAAAAGGGAGCTTACAACAATAGATATAAACAATTAACCAAAGTTTCATGAGAATTGGTGACAGCATATTTGAGTTATTGTTCGAAAACTGGAAAATCACCCCTTTTTTTAATGAATAAAACCCCATAACTCAGAAATGTAAAATGTAAAATTTATAAAATTCTAAAGGGAGCTTACATCAATACATACAAACAATTCACCAAAGTTTCATAAGAATTGCTGTAAGCATTTTAGAGTTTTTGTCCGAAAACTGGAAAATCCCCCCTTTTTTTATGAATAAAACCCTGTAACTCGGAAACGTAAAATCTAAAATTTATAAAAATCGAAAGGGAGCTCATGTCAATAGATATAAACAATTCACCACAATTTCTTGCAAGTTGGTGAAAGCATTCTTGACTTATTGTCCGAAAACTGGAAAATCCCCCTTTTTTTAATGAATAAAACCCTATAACTCAGAAACGTAAAATCTAAATTTTATAAAAAATGAAAGGGAGCTCACGTCAATAGATATAAACAATTCACCAAAGTTTTATGCAAATTGGTAAAAGCATTTTTGAGTTAATGTCCGACATGTTGACGACGGACTGACAGACGGACAATGGTATACCATAATACGTCCCGTAAACAGGCGTATAAAAACTTAACAGAGCAATGAACTGTGAAAATGAGGTCAAGGTCAAATAAAACCTGCGCGACTGACATAAAGATCATAAAATATTTCCATACACCAAATATAGTTGACCTATTGCATATAGTATTAGAAAAAAAGACCAAAACTCAAAATCTTAACTTTGACCACTGAACCATGAAAATGAGGTCACGGTCAAATGACACCTGCCAGCTAGACATGTACATCTTACAATCATTCCATACACCAAATATAGTAGACCTATTGCATACAGTATAAGAAAAACAGACCAAAACACAAAAACTTAACTATAACTACTGAACCATGAAAATGAGGTCAAGGTCAGATGACACCTGCCAGTTGGACATGTACACTTTACAGTCCTTCCATACACCGAATATACTTGACCTATTGCTTATAGTATCTGAGATATGGACTTGACCACCAAAACTTAACCTTGTTCACTGATCCATGAAATGAGGTCGAGGTCAAGTGAAAACTGTCTGACGGGCATGAGGACCTTGCAAGGTCGCACATACCAAACATAGTTATCCTACTACTTATAATAAGAGAGAATTTAACATTACAAAAAATGTTAACTTTTTTTTCAAGTAGTCACTGAACTATGAAAATGAGGTCAAGGACATTGGACATGTGGCTGACGGAAACTTCGTAACATGAGGCATCCATATACAAAGTATGAAGCATCCAGGTCTTCCACCTTCTAAAATATAAAGCTTTTAAGAAGTAAGCTAACGCCGCCGCCGCCACATCACTATCCCTATGTCGAGCTTTCTGCGACAAAAGTCGCAGGCTCGACAAAAACTGGAAAATCCCAATAAAACACCATAACTCAGAAATGTAAAATCTAAAATTTATAAAATTCTAAAGGGAGCTTACAGATTGATAATTTAGTCTTAGATGCAAGATTTTTATATCAGTTGTTAGTGGCTTTGAACTAGCTGTCAGTAACTGCAAGTACTCTCAGATCTGTACTTTCTGTCTTTTTCTTGTTTGGATGTACAACTACCCGACCACATCCACTTGTATTTGTATTTATCCATCTGATGAGTTAAGCCTCTTTCAAGTGATTTTTATAGTTCGTTCTTATATTGTACTGTTACACCACTGTCCCAGGTTAGGGGGAAGGTTGGGCTCCCGCTAACATGTTTAACCCCGACACATTCTGTATGTACATGTATGTGCCTGTCCCAAGTCAGGAGCCTGTAATTCAGTGGTTGTCGTTTGTTTATGTGTTGCATATTTGTTATATTCGTTCATTTTTTGTACATAAATTAGGCCGTTAGTTTTCTTGTTTGAATTGTTTTACATTGTCAATTCGGTCCTTTTATAGCTGACTATGCGGTATGGGCTTTGCTCATTGTTGAAGGCCATACTGTGACCTATAGCTGTTAATTTCTGTGTCATTTGGTCTCTTGTGAGAGTTATCTCATTGGCAATCATACCACATCTTCTTTTTTATATTTACATCAACAGATATAAACAATTCACCAAAGTCAAGGTGAGACAACAAAACTTAGTGGTAAGATCTCTGAAATTTTTTACACGGTACAAGTTTTTCTCAATTGTTGGAGATTGTACGGTGACAGTAACACCTGTAACTGCTTAAACCCATTTCTTATGCACTTTAGTTCGATAAACTCACTGAATATCATACCACATCTCCTTATTTTTATATGCATTACAATTTACATGTGCATGTAATTATAAATATATATATATCAGAACAAAATTCATTGCGTCACTTTTATTTCTGCATCCTTTGGCACAATACAAGTTTTAAAATTACACAACATAAAACAACTAAATGTTATTTCAGATGAAAGTTTTGTTTCAGTTCCATTCATAGGATTTGTTAGAATTTTGTATGTTTTGCCAAGTCCAATAATTCGCTCTATGTGCACATGTTAATTGGAGACTTTTCTATCCCGTATAAGAGTTTTGGAACTAATTCTGTTTCTTTTTTTGAAAAAAGTTAGCAAACAAATCTTGCACATTTAAACCTTTGTCTGCCATCACACTGTCACCTGGATCACATAACTGAACTACATTTTGTATTCTACATCTTTCAACTATTTCATAGTCACTGGTAGAACCAACATATGCAGTAGAGACATAGTTGACTAAACCACCAGGCGTCGAACATACAAGTATTTTCAGTGTTTCTGTTTTTAAATGATGAAAAGGTTGCCTGAGCTCTAGGAGCTTTAGTTTTATCACGGGATATTCTGTGCTGTCAATAATAATCCAAGTCGTAGGAAACTTTAATTTGAAGTTGGATGGCGAAAAATGCCTGACTAAACCACTAGATGGCCAAGTGTTAGCCTCACACCACTGTTTAGGCATAAAAACAATCCATGTATATACACAATATTCTTAACACTAGATTCAATCTAGAATCTAGAAAGTTCAAAGTTGGTTATATAATGCCTCAATTTCATCAAAGTCATAAAAAAACTGATTTTCAACTGACACCCTATCAATTTGAAAATATATGTATCTCAAACAATGTGCTGTTGGACCAAGTGTGGTCAAAACAAATAAAAATTTAGTATACAACTCTAAACTGGTATAAAAATGCATGGCTGTGTCACGTGTCTTCATTTCAAAATTCTCTGCTGAAAACATAGACATTGATGGTGTTTGCGTAATTCCATCTTTGAAGCTCAACATTAGCTCAGCAGTTGGTGGTGGACAGTCATAAATCCTTTCTGCAGTATGAATGACTTCTTCAGGAAAACCAACTTTACAATCAAAACTTTCCTCTAGATTTCTACTACAATATTCATCAAGTTTAGTTCTTTTGTTTTCACAGGAAACTGCCCTGATTTTTCTTTTTGCGGACGATTCAGTCTCTTGCTTGGTCCAGGAAAATAGGCTGGGAATGGCAGTAGACTTAGGTCTCTGTATGGTGGGTTTGCGCCCTGAAAAAGGTTATAAAACATTAGTTTTTTGATAATTAAATGAACTTCCATTAGCAATGTATACTTTCATGACTTTGTATTACCTGGCGAAATATTAACTAGATTTATTCATTACAATCTGGATAAAACTATGTTTGCCTGATTCAATGTATGTTATGTAAATCCAAAGGACAAACAATGAGAGACTTATGCAACAAACGTACATTGTTTGTACCTAAATAACTATAATATTGATGAGAGCATGTCATTGTTTTGTTCCTGTTAACATTGTCATTGATATTTTTCAAGAAAGTCTATGAGGCATAGCTTATGCATTCCTGTCATTACTACATTAGCATAATTAGTGCTAAAATAATTCTCAGTATGATATACCTCTTGTAAGAAATCATTATAACTGTAGCAATCACCAAAAAATCTCAAACAGATCACATTGAATCGTAATCCAAAAAATTATGACGTCTTGAATTAACCACCCCCTTTTATTCTAAAACGATAATTGCGGTTGTAAACAGGCTTTGGTTTATTCGCATGGCGATTACATATATAACTATATATTTCAAAAAGAAAATAGAGTTTTACCATGAATAGTTTCCTGCACGTAGTCTTTTTCAGTAAAATGTGCCTTGCAAACAACAGCTGATTGAGATGGACTCCACGATGAAATCGTGTTCTCGTCCAATCTGCGTTTAGGCCATGGCGTTGATCCAACTTTTCCTTCTTTTTAAGTCATTTGGAAATGCATCTCCTTCTCTTAAATGACATCCAGGTACACAACAACAAGTACTTGGCATCGTTAATTTAAAATGTAACTGAAATAGTTGCACAGTGCAGAAACCGGAAGTTGAGGAACAGGATCGGCTACCACGGCGCCACCTATTCAGGAACGATAATTTTCTACTTTATATAACTGCGAAATAACAATAACGTTAGACGGGTTCACGTGCATAAACAGAAATGCGCTTTAAATTGTATAATATAATTAATGTTCAGTCGACTCTTAATTATTATATCAACGACTGAAATGATTTATAAACATCTAGATTGCAGATAACACTCGAAATTAACCCGAGCTCTTTCCACACGGAATTCAAATAATTCTAGTTTGTCAATCGGTTGACTGCTTATAATGCAAAATACAAATATATCAAAAGTTTTTAAAACTAACAAAACACAATGATCGTTTCTCTATTTCCCAATGTAAATGAAATGAAACAAAAAACATTTTATATCATAATAAGAAGAGGAGAGAATTCAACATTTCCGGATCTACTTGGAGCCTAATGGCCCCCCACGTGGATAAGTTGGATATCGCGGAAGGAAGGATTAACCCGGCAACTAGAAAGGCATTAAAGCACTGCCTTTAAAAAGTAAACAATTATAGGTCAAAGTACGGTTTTCAACACAGACCCTTGGCTCACACCAAACAGCAAGCTATAAAGGGCCCCAAATGACTAGTGTAACAATTCAAACTGGAAAACCAACGGTCTTATCTACATGTATATAAAAAACTAGAAACGAGAAACACCTATGAACCACACTAACAAACGACAACCACTGAACAACAGCCTCCAGACTTAGGACAGGTCCATCAAAATGCAGTGGGTTAGTGTATTTTTGACTATTTATCATCTTGTGTGTACAACAAATTACAGAACTCTATCATTTGGATACTGCTTATTACCAAGTCTAGATTTATCTGTAGCAAGTTCTGTTTTAAGCTTATTAGCCTCCTCGTACATTGCTGCCACCTTTGACCTCATTTCATATAATTTTGGTTCTATAGAGAGGTTATATTCAGCCATACTTTTGTTTTTTACTATTGTCATTTCTTTATCCGTTTGTAACCTTTTAACCTACAAAATAAAATGTTTTTAAAACTCATTTAACAGAAAGAGACCCAGTGTACAAAATTAGCTGTTGTTTGAATGAGAAACATAAAAACACAATGTACCAGATGTTTTCATCAAATACCTTCAGCATAGACCATTTGTGTTTGTACATAGATAATGATTTTTTTTCTATGTTGATCTAGATTTCTGATTAATGAAAAAAATAAAATTATATTTATATCTGGTACACAAATATTTAGTTGATAATTATGTTATGTGATTCACTGGGCTAACGCCTGGTCAATCAGTAATTCATTATGGTAGAAAAATTCAACTGTCATCAGTTGGGAAGATTTTTTTTTCTAAACTTTAGTGACCTCATTTAACATTTCTTTTGCAGACTTTATATGAGTATTTAATGTCAATTGTACTTACATGTACTATAATTTCTTTCAGCTTATTAATTTAAATGTTCCCCTATTCTATTAAGAAGACTTGAATAATAGATTGATGCTGTTTTCCTTAAAAAAACCTCTGACTTGAAATATTGAGTCAATAGACAGATATTCATTAACATGATTGATGAGGACTCTTTCATATTTTCAATTGTAGTGCAACAAAGTTATACAGTTTAATTTGAATAAAAACCATTTTAATAATAGCTGGGTTTTTTTTACCTGAGGTAAATCAGTAATTAATCCAATTAACTTGTCTTCATCGTCTAACAATTCCTGAAGTTCTTGTTTATTGCGGCTTTCTATGAGACCTTGTACTTCATGGTCATTTGGTGTAAGTTTTGGTGCTTGTATCTGCATGTCTGTATCAGTATAATTATTGAACATATCGACACAACATCAGGATCTGTGTAAATAGAGAAAACACATTTTCTTACAATGTATTTTACTGGAAAAGCAACAAGTAGTGAAGTATGAAATTATGTATATGACACCAAAGTCCTTACATGTACTGACAAATTTATAGAAAGACGAAAACTGTAACCAACACACTATTAAACATTGGTTTCTTGAATTCTGTTACTTTTGTAAAATTGGACATTTTTTGGTCTTTGCCTGCCAACATTGGAATAGGATCCCAGTTCAGTACCCATGAATGAAGTCCCTTAATAAATCTACCATCTTTGAAATGAGATGGTGAACCGAGATGAAAATTATGTAAAGATGCTTAAATCTGTAGTACATATATTCCCTAAACTTTAAATTTCTATGATATTTTGTGTGATTCTGAAATGAATATATATTATGGAGGATGATTGTCCAAGTAAATGGTCCAAATTTCAATTTCAATTTTAACGGGAAGTGAAACTAGAGGCTCTAAAGAGGCTGTGTCGCTCACCTACTTCTACAACAATGGCCACTTTTTAGTAAAATCATCAATAAAGAGGAACAACTCTATTAAGAGTTAAGTGACAATTTCAGTCATGTTGACATATTTGTAGATCTTATCTGGCTAATAATTTTTCCTTTCTAAAGTTTGTATTTACCTATTTATTTTTTTATAAAAAAATTATCATTTAATGGCAATAACTCCAATAATGAGTCAACTGAAGATTTCGACCATTTGGCTTATTTGTAGATCTTGTCTTGCAAATCATTTGTGCTATTTAAAATTTCTATCTATCTATTTTTCAGATAATAGACAAAATCGGAATAAAATGCTCCGCAGGGCGCAGCTTGATACGACCGCAGAGGTCGAACCCTGAACAGTTGGGGCAAGTATGGACACAACATTCAAGCTTGATACAGCTTTGCATTTGGATTGTGATTAAATATTTGACACAGCATAGGTTTCTGACACAGAATGAATGTGGTCTAAGAACTTAAAAATTTTAAATTGGACATTCACCTATTATGGTCCAATATCCAAAATCTAAATACATGGTTAGATTCAGCATATCAAAGAATGCCAAGAATTCAATTTTTGATGAAATCAAACAAAGTTTAATTTTGGACCCTTTTGACCTCAATGTGGACAAAGTTGAAAACGCGGCCCAAAAATCAAAAATCTAAATACATGGTTAGATTCAGCATATCAAAGAACCCCATATATTCAATTTTTGTTGAAATCAAACAAAGTTTAATTTTGGACCCCGATTTGGACCAACTTAAAAACTGGGCCCATAATCAAAAATCTAAATACATGTTTAGATTCAGCATATCAAAGAACCCTAAGAATTCAATTTTTGTTAAAATCAAACTAAGTTTAATTTTGGACCCTTTGGACCTTAATGTAGACCAATTTGAAAACGGAACCAAAAATTAAGAATCTAAATACATGGTTAGATTCGGCATATCAAAGAACCCCAATAATTCAATTTTTGATGAAATCAAACAAAGTTTAATTTTGGACCCTTTGGACCTCAATTTGGACCAATTAAAAAAATGGGACCCAAAATCCAAAAACTAAATACACGGTTAGATTCAGCATATTAAAGAAACCCAAGAATTCAAGAATAAAACCCCATTGAAATTGGTCAAGAAATAAGCAATTTATACGAAGTATCTTCTTTTGCACAATACTGTGCTATTAAATATTTCTTGCTATTGCGCAATACTGTACAATTGACAATTTCTTGCTATTGCGCAATATTGTGCTATTGGATATTTCTTGCTATTGCGCAATACTGTGCAATTGAAGATTTCTTGCTATTGCGCAATACTGTGCAATTGAAGATTTCTTGCTATTGTGCAATACTGCGCAATTGAAAATTTCTTGCTATTGCACAATACTTATTATATAATAATTTACACATCCTGTTTGGTGTGTATCTCCTACCATATCATTATTATTTGCTTTTAAATATAAATCAGAAATAACCAACTTAAAATGGAAAAATTTAAAAGAAAAAAAAAATGAAAAAAAAAAAAATCCCCCCCCCCACAAATATTTTGAACCCCCTTATGATTCATCACCCCCAAACTCAATCCCAGCCTTCCCTTTGTGGAATGGTACCTTGCAGTACAATTTCAGAGAGATCCATACACTTGAACACAAGTTATTGTCTGGAAACTAGAAAAATGTGTTTTTTGGCCCCTTTTTGGCCCCAAATTCCTAAACGTTTAGGGCAATTACCCCCAAACTCAAACCCAGCTTTCCCTTTGTGATATGAAACCTTGTAGTACAATTTCAGAAAGATCCATACACTTACACACAAGTTATTGTCCTGAAACTAGAAAAATGCTTGTTTTTTGCCCCTTTTTGGCCCCTAATTCCTAAAATATTGAGGCAATTACCCCCATCATCAATCCCAGCCTTCCCTTTGTGGTATGGTACCTCGCAGTACAATTTCAGAGAGATCCATACACTTGAACACAAGTTATTGTCTGGAAACTAGAAAAATGCTTATTTTTGGCCCCTTTTTGGCCCCCAATTCCTAAATGTTTCGGCAATTACCCCCAAACTCAATTCCAGCTTTCCCTTTGTGATATGGAACCTTGTAGTACAATTTCAGAAAGATCCATACACTTACACACAAGTTATTGTTATGAAACTAGAAAAATGCTTGTTTTTTGCCCCTTTTTTGGCCCCTAATTCCTAAAATTTTGAGGCAATTACCCCCAAAATCAATCCCAGCATTCCTTTTGTGATATGGAACCTTGTGGTACAATGTCAGAGAGATCCATACACTAACACACAAGTTATGTCTGGAAGTTACAAAAATGCTTATTTTTGGCCCCTTTTTGGCCCCTAATTCCTTTACTGTTGGTACCATAACCCCCAAAAACAATCCCAACCTTCCTTTTGTGGTATTGAACCTTGTGGTAAAATTTCATAGAGATCCATTCACTTAAACTAAAGTTAAGAGTGCGAAAACCAATGTGTCTTCGGACGACGCCGGACGACGCCAGACGACGACGACGACGACGACGCCGGACGACGACGACGCCAACGTCATACCAATATACGACCACAAAAATTTTTTTGCGGTCGTATAAAAATGGGAAAAATCATCATTAAAAGGCAATAACTTCCATAAGGCATTGTAAGGAGTCGACTTTTGGTCATGTTGACTTATTTATAGATCTTGTCTTACTGATCATTTTTGCTTTTAAAGTTTCTATCTATCTATTAAGATTTTAGGCAAAAACGCAAAAATTTGGTAAAAATCATCATTAAAGGGCAATAACTCTAATAAGGAGATGTCTGATGATTTTGGTCATGTTGACTTATTTAATAATCTTGTCTCGCTGATCAGAAAGTTTCTGTCTTTCTATTATACATTTTGTAATTTTCGTGATAATACGGAAATTTTTTTTAAAATAGTAAAATTTGTCATTTAATGGCAATAACTCCCATTAGAAGTCATCTGACAGTTTTGACATGAATGGCCAATAGTAATTAGAGCTCAACATTCTGAACATTTTTGCTCATGTCAGAATTTCTCTTTTTATAGCGGTTATCAAAATAATAGGCAAAACTTGCATTTTACCCCCTGTGTTATATTTTTAGCCATGTCAGCAATCTTGGTTGGCAGGCGGGGTCATCGAACACATATTTTAAACTAGATACCCTGATTATGATTTTGGCCAAGTTTGGTTAAAATTGGCCAGTGGTTTCAGAGATTTTTGTAAAAGTTAAGGGATGACGACGACGGATGCCAAGTGATGAGAAAAGCTCACCTGGGGTCATCATTTCCTTTTTAATGTTAACTTTTTTTATACAATAGGATAGGTAACTTAAATAAGAATATTATAATATGGGAGAACAGACACAAGGTGATTTTGTGTAATATAGGCTAACGGACCAAGATTTCCCAGTAAAAAGCACAGGCACTTGTTTCTATCCATGGGAAGCCCCACTATCAATAACCCGAATAATTCAGTCGTTATATTCCACTGCTCTACGATGGCTACATCCCTCGCGAGTGGGAGAGTCGATCACGGGGAGGGACTGAATTATTCGGGTTACACTATCAACGTATATTTACGAGAAGGTACCCAACTACTTTTTTCACCTCTCCGCTTCAAACCCTTATTTTGCTGTCAATTCATTCTCAAATTTATTGTTCCATACACCATTCGATTCGTGAAAAGTTTTTCTTTCAGATGGTATGGATTGTATTTACCCTTAGGGTACCCCTTACCTCCAATACACAAGATTTGTCAATAAATATTCATGTGATTGTTTTTAGTCCTCCTACAAAATACAACAACTACCGGTTTAAGGCAGCGAATTTCAATACTGATTGTGATTGGTCGGTTCATAGTTCATAGGGTTATTCATAAGTTAAAGGTCATTACACTCTCTAGATTTTACTTATTCATTTGTGATTCTCTAGACTTATCATTCACTGTTTTATGCAAATTATCTAGGACTAAAACTTTAAAGGCTACACGAATAAATATATCCCATATATTTTTTGTTTTCTAAAATTTAACTAAAAAAATCCCCAGTGAAATGATATTTGTAGCATCGTTATTTTTCTTTTTAATAAGGATTCAGTCCGTGAAATTTTGATACCGGAAGTTATTGTATTTTGTAGGAGGACTAAAAACAATCACATGAATATTTATTGACAAATCTTGTGTATTGGAGGTAAGGGGTACCCTAAGGGTAAATACAATCCATACCATCTGAAAGAAAAACTTTTCACGAATCGAATGGTGTATGGAACAATAAATTTGAGAATGAATTGACAGCAAAATAAGGGTTTGAAGCGGAGAGGTGAAAAAAGTAGTTGGGTACCTTCTCGTAAATATACGTTGATAGTGGGGCTTCCCATGGATAGAAACAAGTGCCTGTGGTAAAAAGTCCCCAACACTAACAGGCTAAGTACATGATCACTGTCTTAGTGGCCAAAATGATGACTCTTAATATTATCTGATTCATCAAAGTTTAAATACAATACATTTTTTTTTTGCGACTGAAACAACGTCTTCTCACACAGGTAAAAGCAAACTATACACACTCATATCAGGGTATGAATGACAGTCTGAAAGAACTTGAAAAATAGAAGGGTCAGGGATGCCACTGGGTGTTTAACACTAACACAACATGTAAAAGCCTGGAAAACCAGCTTGATTGAAATCTCTTAAATAAAACACAAATCAGTCACGCCATTCTTTTCTTACATGAGAGATTATTTAAGTCAAAATATTTTGGTAACACTTCAGAGAACTTCCTGGATGTGACGTCAGACCCTTTAGAGTAGCTACAATGAGACCGCTGAACCCGATCGCACATACAAATTGAGTTGAGGAAAGCATGGAAGTATTATATTGACAATATAATACTTCCATGAGGAAAGTAACGTATCAGTACCCAAATTGCACCCATTTAGCAAAAATAGAAGCGGAAATGGAAGCAGGACAAATCGCCCCACTGGCAAATCGCCCCACACCAAATCGCCCCACTTTTTCACTAACTCGCCCCACTTTTAAAAAAATCGCCCCAAACTGGTTTACCAACTCGCCCCACTTTTTAAAAAATCGCCCCACTTGTGAAAAGGGTTAAATCCCGTTAATTTTTCTCCTGCCAACTCGCCCCACTTAATGAAAAAAAGGTAAAATCTAGATGAATATATAATTTTCAGGTCTGCCAACTCGCCCCACTTAAATGAAAACTTATCTACACAGAATACATAAAAACGCAAATTTATTAGATTATTATGAAATTAAATGATGTTTCACTTTCTCAAAATATAGTTGTAAATACATTATTCATTATCATATAATTTTCGTATTATTGGAGAATAACTTTATTCTTGTAAGCTTAGTTATTTGCATAACAATTGAAAAGAAACCTGTTAATTGTATCATAATCCGATATTTTATCATAACAATTGAAGGATTTCAATTTGTTTTATAGCACTAAACGGATTGGTTACTTTTTTCTTTGAATTAAGAATAATTAAACACTTCATAAGTGGGGCGAGTTGGCATTACTGAATTCATCGTGCTTTATCTATTTGTCATGAGTGGGGCGAGTTGGCATACCTTATTTCAGCGGGATTTTAACCCTTTTCATAAGTTGGGCAAGTTATCCAACCTATTTTCAATGGGATTTTATCCTTTTTCATAAGTGGGGCGAGTTGGTAAACAAGAGTGGGGCGATTTTTTAGAAAGTGGGGCGAGTTGGTGAAAAAGTGGGGCGATTAGGTGTGGGGCGATTTGCCAGTGGGGCGATTTGTCATGGATTCGCGGAAATCTTACAAGATTTCTTAGAGACTAAACAATTTGTACTTTTATGATTTGACATTGTGCAAGTTTTCAACATAATAAATATATAAATATACACAGAACGTTCAAAGTATGTATCAACAGATGAAGTATTCACTGGAAAAAATCAAATCTACGGAAACGTCGCAGGCGACGTCCACAAAAAGTCAACTTTTTAAAAAGAGCAATTGAAATATGTTGCAGGCATCCATTTCTTAAAAATTGGGACAACTATTATACTTAATATATACTATGTCCCAGGTAAAAAATTAATAGTAAGCATGGACTCATGTCAAATTGTTCTAAATATTTGGAGAAATAAAACAAAACATCATTTATTCGATTTTTACGGATGTGAGTTTAAGCATGGATGCAATTTAGGTACTCCTCATTACAGAATCATGGATCGTTTGGATGTCGGTTCAAACCCATTTTTCTATGATTCAATATGGTTTCAAAATTAAAACGGTGGAACTATATAGTAAATACAAAAAATCAAATCTGGAGCTGTGGACAGTAAACTGGTGCTTTTCAGTAATATTTTTGTTCCAAATTTTGTTCTCCGCTTCTATCGGCTTGAAACCAATCTTACCAAAAATATGAAAAGTAAAATTACACAACTACGTATCAATTCTCATGTTTTACATATAGAGCGGGCCGGGTAGATATAATAAACCCAAAATTCCAAGAGAAGACGTTTTTGCAAATTCTGCACTGAAGTAGAGACAGAAGAACTTTTTTTGATATCTTGTCATAAATAGAAAGATATATGGCAAACTTTTTTCCAATGTTATGGTTTAGATTTGAAAGATTCACATAATAATTATTTTTCAGTTTCTAAACTTTTAAATCCACAAAATATTATTGAATGTAATCATTTATACAAATTTATTAGAGATGTATTAGAAATAAGAACACTTCTTAAAATTATGTGTACAATTGTATTATTATATATATACATGTAAAAGTTTCATCTAATTAGCAGAAGTAGCGTACTGGACATCATTGCATGACGTCGTCAGAAACGTAATCATCGGGACATTACCGGCAACAAACTGTGCACAAGTTATTAAAAGGTTTAATATATAAGGAGATTTACACACTTACTTGTTATAGGAGTAACTAAACGTATATACGACTACAAAAATATGAATAAAAAGAGATGTGTGGTCACGTATGTGTCAATGAGACTACAGGTCATTACTGAAAAAGACAAATGTCTTTGTCTAGAGGCTCATATACGGTAATCAACAATTCCCAAGTGTTTAATACCATATACGGTAATCAACAATTCCCAAGTGTTTAATACCATATACGGTAATCAACAATTCCAAAGTGTTTAATATCATATACGGTAATCAACAATTCCCAAATGTTTAATACCATATAAGCTCTAAATCTTCCGAGTCGAGACAACTTGTAGCTAAATTAAACAGCAATTGATAAAGTTGTAAAATTGTAGCTAAATTAAACAGCAATTAATAAAGTTCTGCGAACAATTCCAGACAGCACACCAAGATATAAAAACTAAAAAATTGGTATTTACATTATTTTCTGAAAAAATAAACTTTTAGCTACCAAACAAAATGATCTTATTTGTATGTCAAAGAGAAATTCCTTATGGAATACGAAGAAAAATCTTTCAGTCGCCAAAGGAAAAAAAGTGGAACCCTATGTTTAACAGATATTTTTACAAACATTGCATTGCGTAAAATATTAAATTAAACAAACCGAATTGTGACTGTTTTCAGAAAATTTCTGTTTTGATTTTTCAGTGGGTAAAATTTCATGTTTTCTTTTATTTTCTGCTAGGACTAGTACTGGGTAAATATATTCATCACAATATATATATATAGTTCCAGTTTTCTGTTAGATTTTTGAACCTTATTCTTCCCAAATCAAAATCATTTTGGTCTTTTCACCGGCCACTATTCTATTATCATAACAACAATGTGTATATACGGTCATTTTTCTCTATGTATCTTAGTCTAACCGAAAGTCAATTACTATGAGAAGTGTGCAAGCTCTGTCCCATGTTAAAGTTGAGTTTATGGGTGGAGAGTTGTCTCATTGGCAACCATACCACATCTTTTTATTTATATATTTAGGAGGTATGTCAATAAGTTGGGGCTCTATTTTGCTATGATAAATAGGGAAGCATGGGTGGATTGTCATCTTTTCAACATTTTTTTAGTGAAATTTTCCAATAAGTTTTATTCCGTGAGCGTGACATACAATGTATGTATTATATGTCTCTGGTTTTATTACAGAGGGTCATATAAAATCCTCAGTGAACTGCTGATTACAACTCTTAACTTATAAAAAAGCAATCATGTTGAGTTCTATTATGCGAAAAGGAAGTTAAGCCAAGATCACATGCTACCATATAAAGTATGAAGAATTGAGGTTTTACATTTTTAGGCAACTGTCAAAAGATTGTAACGTAAAAGTTTTAGAGGATGTAAAAGCTATTTACAAGATATTTGTTTGATTATATAACTAAAATCAAATCAAATCAAAGTTTTATTTATTGTCGATACATTGCAAACAAAGTAACACAAGCTCTAGTGAGCTTTTAAAATCGACATTATAAAACATTACACGCAAACAAAATGACATGCAAACTAACATACCTATAATAAGGCATAAGACAGCAAGCAGTCAAGCACATAAGCAAAATAAAATAATATTGTTCATGCAGATAAATTATAAAATCGAAGCAAACTAATTTAGCATAAAAAGCAGCTAAAAAGCCAAGCTAAGCTCAAATCATAAAGCACTAATTGCATGCATTACATCAAGTTGGCATGAGCTGCCATTCCAGGTCTGTATTAGATTGGAAAATTGAATTAAAGAAGTTTCAGTCCTGTCTGATGTGGTTTGGCAGCTCATTCCATAATTGTGCAGCACTATAACGGAACGATTTTAGCCCATATCTTGTGAGTGTTTACTCTCGGTATATCAGCTGTATCATTGGATCTAAAATTATAACGTTGGGTTTTGATATTTATTAAGTCACGATGATAACTTGGACTTTTCTTGTGTACAATTTTAAATGTTTCAATTCCAATGGTTCTAAGTCTGCGAATTTTTAAAGAAGGAAGTTTAGAAGTCAAAAGTAAATTTTCATAGCTGCTTATATAGTCCTCATATATGAAGCGGAGAGTTCTTTCCTGAATTTTTTCAATTTTTTGTGAATTTTTTTCACTACAGAAATGCCAAATTACCGGAAAATAATTAAAATTTGAAAGAATGAAAGATCAGTAAGCTGTTAGACGTCCCAACCTGTTTAAATATTTGCCAATACGTTTAAGCCGAATTTTAAGTTGTCCGACTTGCAGCTTTTTTACAAATTTGTGAGATATGATTATCAACTGATAATAACAACGTAACAGATCACTCAAGAACTGTTTGCGCTTGAGCAAGGATTTGTATAGTTAGAACCTTCTTTCTATACAAATCCCTTGCTTGAGTAAAAAAATATCCACAGCAGATTGCGAGACGGTTTTCGCGTCTGGAAACTAGGTAGTCCCGTTCATTTTTCTTGATAGATGGCGCTAAAGTCTTTACCGGAAACATAAGATAACTTTACTAATCCATGATCGGGTGTGTACTTTATGTAATTTTGCTGCGAATATGATAATTTCTCGAATACAGAACATAAGACTTCTTCAGAGATTAACATGTCTAACGACGAATCGATTGATTCCGATATTTCCCCGAAATTGTGCTGGACAAGTGCGGGCCATATCAGGAGAGGTCAGCCAAGATCAACAGATTTCACCAACATATTACTATGATGTACTTGGTGTCACACCAAGAGCAAACGAAAAGGACATCAATAATGCTTATTATAAACTCGTAAAAAAGTATCACCCTTCTGTCAACCCCACTGCAGATGCAATCACTAAGTTTCAAGAAATTTGTAGGGCTTATGATGTTTTGAGTATCGCAGATAAAAGAAAAGCGTATGATGATTTTC